TCACCGTTGAGTAAAGTCGGTGCTTCCCCATCCCGACCATCCCGACCATCCCGACCATCCCGACCATCCCGACCATCCCGACCATCCCGACCATCCCGACAGACTCTGACTGTCCCGACATTCCCCGACCATCCCAACAATCCCGGCCACCCCTACCATCCAACCAAACCTGATTCCCCGGTGAGTTTGTGAGGTGTGGAAGGTCGATGCTTCGCACCTCACAAACTGAACCATGAGACGTCCTCCCCCCAAAACGGTGGTGGAACAAGCTTTGGCAATCATGTGACTTTGGACATTGGACCTGTATGGCATGAGTCTACCCTAGACATGTCTTCCCCCAACAGCTGCAAGCTTTGGGGTCTTTGCCCAGATAAGGTTCCAGGGATTGCTGGCGCCCTGCGGATAGCGCACATTCTTAGTGTGCCTGGCCTCTCCGTCCGGAGTTTGACTCATGTCAATGTGACTAACTGGGGATTCATTAAGTTCCTTGCCTTTGTACTGCCGGGCTGCGAATGTCAAGAAACCACGAAACTCAGACACCCAAAATTCAGGAAACACGAACGCAAAAACACGATTCAGAAGACACGAAAGCTAAACTCCGAAAACGAACAACATGGGACTGGTCGGGATGGCCGGGTTGGGACGGTCGGATGACGTCCTAAGATGGGGGTCCCCGGAATCACTTCGAGGTGGAGCATCGTTGTAGAGGGGGGTGCCACTCCAAATTGTGCTTGGGAATTTCAGTCGAAATACCAATGATGGGCCTCTCCACATGGCCATCATGCTCTGCCCTACACTCCAACGAAAAACTACGAAGCTTCCTCTGACTCTTGTAGGATACTGACAGACGCTTTTGGGTCAACCATTTGATTCTTTCATTCAGACACGGGCACGCGCCCTCGCCCTTCTGGAAGGTATGGGCACTCTGTCCGACCTCAGTCATTGCCAAGGAGCCGCGCTTTGCATGCGCCAGCTTTGCCAAGCTTTGCCAAGCTTTGCCAAGACGCGATTGCCCTATACATTGGGCTCAGCTGCGGCGACCCTGACCCCTGAGGCAGTCAAGCAGACACCATCCGTCAGTCTCTCCTCCCAGCTGGGTGCCAGACGCTCTTGTCATCTTTGTCATGATCTGCGCACCGCCGCATGAGACTCTGCAGAAATTTGAGTGATGGCCGTGCCTACCAGCCGGCGCAGCCAGGATGGCCATTTGCCGACTGCACGGTGCCACACGGAAAGTAGGCCACACAAATTTGGCCACTGAAACTGGCAAAACCAATTCAGACATCCTCTCAATTTTGGGGTGTGAAGCACCTCGCGGCTTGGCAACTTGGCAGCTCGTTCGGACTGCCGTAATGCTTCCAGAGCCCTAGCCAGCGCCTGATTTCAAATACGCCTTGTACGGACCATCTGTAGGACATGTCTGCACAGCTGATTGAATGTCCTGGCAGGAGGTTGTGAATGGTCGGTCTCAAGAAGCTTGGACAACAGATCTGCAAAACCCGTCCGTCGCAGCACCAAATATTTGCTTCACAGCATCGACGGTGTTCAAGACGCCTGACAATGTGCAAAAGCATTGCTCCCTGCACTCGCCCCACACGAAAATACTATGTGTGTGGGGGAGCGTGCAAGTAGCTGCTTGCATTCAGCCAGTTGCCGGCAAATGCCATAGCTTGCAGGGCATGCACAACAAAGCAATCTTTGTCATTCAAGCGGCAAAGGAAGGCGTCGATGTCGCAATTTGACTCAGCACTCACCGCTCTTTCAGAACAAAAACTTACACAGGGGTAAGGAGCACAAAACGCGTTTGCCGCTTCCGATCTTAGGTGGCAGCCGCAGCGCCGATGAGATCTCCTGCCAGCCAGCTGAAGCACTCTGCCGCATCCGTCGTCTCAGCTTGCGCAGACTTGCCATGGGAGAGAAAGGCAAGCGGCTCGCGGTACTGAATCTGTTCATTGGGGAGTTGGCGGAATCGGTCAGTCGGTGAGAGTGTTACAAAATGCCGGTTGCAAAGTAAGGACCAAAGGGCCCAGGAAGAATGCAGCCAAGGCATGTCTGCCCGGGCAAATTGCCGGGAACAAGCACGGGGGCAGCTTGAAGCCAAGTCGCCACTTGCTCCTTGGCTCCGATGGAATTCAACGTATGATGAGTTTGGGTAGCTGCGCTGGGAAAAATGGAATTGCACAGTATGTTCTCACATCTGTTGTCACATTGAACAAGCAGCGCATCTGTCATCACGGTGGTCTGCAATGACGGACACTATCAAATGGCTATCTGAGGCTATCTGTCAAAACTATCCCATCTGTCAACACTCCCTAATTTTGCACGGCAAGTGTGGCTGGACAGGCGGCGCATGTCGTGATCTCCCCAGCGCAGGCCATGGCGAGTGCTGCAGCAGCCTGCGCCGCATCGATCAAGAAGGCCTCGCATGTGCTGCGATTTTCCAAGGACGCACTTTGTTCTGGGGAGGGCATGGTAGGTTGGTGTCGAGACGGTCAAGAAAATGTTGGATGGCTGTGGTTCCTTTCAAACCGACCTCAACAAGGAAAGCTTTCAAAACGTCACACCCGTGCTCGTATTGGGTCTGTCTGTTTTGAGGGTACCGTTTTGTGTGGTTTGCAAGGAAAACCAGAAGGAAAACCACAACTTTTTGGAGGTCCCCTACCAAAGATTCCCATATCTACGATCGATTCAAGCCGAAGGACCATGAAGGTGGCAATATCAGCAGCGCAGTCTGGCGGCGACTCCAAGTCTCCCATGCAGTCGCCAGTCATTGCGACCACCTCAATGGCTCAAGTAAGCTGTACGACCTCATTGCAAACTCAAGGCAGTATTCTCCACAGGGAAACTATTACGCGCAGCTTTGCAAGGGAAAGAATCTGAATTTGAAAAGTATAAAATGAGTCTCTGCGTTTCACATATTTGCATAAGTTGTACACCTGCTGCGCGCAGAAGACGAGGTCGTTGATCATCAGGGCAGTGCTGCACACGGGTGTCATGGACTCGATCACCAGCCACAAGCGTAACCCAGGGTGAACGTGTGTGAATGTTGACTGTTAGTTTGGTCCAAAACAGGACCACTCATCCGAAGCATCATCTGACTCCCAGAGCGGTGTCGTATCAATTGCAAACAAATGTACACACTTGGAAAGGTTCGGCACGATAAACACGCCTCGAAGCACAGTACGGAGGATCGAAGATTGCCTTTACAGGGCAGGCTGACAAGAATTCCCGTTGTGAGACTTGCAAACATGCATGCTTCTCTCCCGAGGAGAATTGCACACTCGTGCAGCCCAGTAGCGGTTGGGTGATTCCACAGCAGCCACGCTGTTGTGTCCGCAGGTCGGAACCAGCTCGCATCCGAGCGGAAGATCAGCGCCAAGCTGAGCGGAATGCGGGCGAGGCGTCGGGTATGAGGCAAAAAGAGGTGTATTTCAAAACAAAAAAATGGAACCCAAACAATCGCATGTTGGTTGCCCTTCAAAACCTCCCATCAAAAGGGTCCCTGGCAAGTTTGACTGGTGGGCATCATGTCAACTCGGCAGGAGGCAAACACCACCCCACTCCCGATGCCCGCCTGCAAAGAACCAAATGCCAAAGCTTCACCATGCTAAATCACCAGCAGCGGCGCACAAGATTATACGCAGCCTATGTCGCCTGACTCTTTGTGGAGCCTTGAGCAACAGAAGTCGACATGCTCCACGTGTTGCACAAGTCATCGCATTTCACCTTCGAACCTTGCTGACATGAAACGTGTTTGCGCGACACGTTAAAATTTGCACTATACACATTCTAAGACATGTCTGCCAGAAAAAAATCGCCTCGGCCCCACGGGGTTTTGCAAAGAGAATCTTCACCCCCCACCCATGTCTGCTGGACCAAGACCAAGATCCTGTCCGGCGCGCCTTGAATTCTCGGGGTTAGTCGGCTCATGGGCCCAGTTTTGTTGCAGATGCTGGCGAGGCCTGTCTGACGCGTCTGAGACTAGCCTCAGGCCCAGCCCAACCAGCAACCCAAGCAGGCCCAACCCAACCAGCAGCATCGGCCTCACGCCCCGCCCCAACCAACGACCCAACCAAGCCATTTGCAGTGGACGCAGACGCTCCGGACGCTGAGATGACGCTGAGCTATCACAGCTCTGCTTTGGTTGTCGTGAATTTCTGCGCAACTTCCGCCCATAACATCCACTGCCCAGCACGCAGCGCCACTGACTCTTGGCTCCATGACTCACTCCTGCGCCTTGTCCTTGCCTCGGGCATTCCTGCGCAACTTCGGCCCATGACATCAATTGGTCCAACGACGACAGAACCTGTCCTTTCCTGAATCGCCCCTTGACCAGCTCTGCTGCTTGCAGTCGAACCACAGGCGCTGCGCGCTCGGCTGGACCGAGGTGGGCAACGCGCAGCGTTTACAATGTGCTACTTTTCGATGTGCGCAGTGCCCCGAGAGAATGGACAGCTGGCTTGTCCTCACGTGCAAAAATGAAAGTGCTGTGCAAGGAGGTTGATTGATTTGTACTATGCTCCAGCAGCATCGTCCCAAGGTTAAAACCAAACACGAATCGAACACCCCTAAAGGCTGTCTTTGTTGTGCCAGCCACGTTCTGCTTTCCGACTTAGGCCCCCCGGCTACAGCGTTTGCGCCGCCGGCTCCATCACAAGTGGGATGGCGCCGATTCATCACTTCAAGTAAATGAGAGCAAAGAATGCATTGCTTTTAAATACGCAAATTTGTTACTCGGAACTCGGAACCCCTGTTGGAAGACTTTGGAAAGTGGCAAGGAAACTGAAAGGACGTGTACACATTTTGAGAAAGCAACGTTCGCAAAACTCATCCCCGAAAGGCAAGGTGGCTGAATCCACGCCACTTGCCAAGGCTGCCTTTTGACTCAAAGCTTACTTCCGGATCTCCGAGCCATTTGACTGAGCAGGGACTCCCGCTTTGGACATCATGCTGTGGCGCCTTCAGAGGGTCCAGTGCTTTGCCCCCCTTGAGGCTGATACGCAAAGCCACGGTCGGCGAGCACACCTCAGGTTGTTCTGCCACGCGTGGGCACTTTGCAGAACTGGAGACTTAGACCTCTTCTTTGCTCCGTGAAGGGCAAGCAGATTTTGAGTCCCAAGAAAAACGAAAAAAATATCTCCTTTCTCCCTTCAAGTCGAGAGTCTCCGGATCCGCCCATAGGCCATTGAGCTGGAACAGGGTACCTGCCGGCCCCTCGAATTTAACCTGAACGCACATTACGCGCAAGGACACAATTGCGATCGAAGGCGCCTTCCAGCAGAACCCTCCCGTGGAGGGAAGTGAAGTGAAACTCCGCCTACAATTGGCCACTCCATGCTCAACTCTCCATGGTCCATTGCGGCAGGTTGAGCACATCACAGTCAACGTCTGTGCCCCGATGAGAATTGGAAGGAGCAACCCTCCATTCCTAGTCTGGTGCATGAACCAAGCGGCAAAGGCATAAATCCGCCGATGTGCCGTCTGAGCCTTGTGATCGGCACTCACTCAAAGGGTACATGTCAAAACTGAAAACCTTTTGCACACCGATTTGGTGTCTACTTCAAGGCGGGGACTACACTCTCCTACAAACTCGCACAGGTTCTTCGAACAAAGCTGGGGAGGCTCCCTCAAGGAGGTTCAGGTGGCGTCTAGATCTTCCGGAGAGTACCATCGAAGTCAAGGCTCCAGCCAATGTTGTCGCATGGTCTCCGGATTTCCGTCAGTATGGATGGGGCCCGTTGGGCAACCAGAGCCTGGCCTCCTGTGAGACCAATATGGAGGTTGCTTAAACTGTGGTTGTAAGCATCTTCAAATAGGGTTGGCCCACCCTGACAATGGTTTCCCTCTTCCTCCCGGTTAAACAAACATTCCCCAGAGATGGAAGACTGGAGCCACGCACATCACGTGGCAAAACTAGGGAGCCCGTTTGCTTGGAAGAAAGCATAAAAACCAACCATGAAAAGCTCCTCGTTTTGACACGCAAACGGCGACTTGCGTGCGAGGCAGGGGCTTTCCAATCCAAAGGTGATCGTCCAACACCTGAGCCGATGTATGGGGGCTCGGGGTTCTTGCCACGTCTTTGAAGATACACCTCACACCTATAACTATAGGATTGCTTTCCAGGGCAACCAAAGACAAAAAACAATCAGTACGGTTCCTGAGTTCATGACGATAACTTTTCACGTATGAGTTGTTTCGTCCCAAACCTTGAAAATATTGTCTTTGGTGAGTTGCGTTTGCCATGTTTCTCGTGTCTCAAGTTTGTGTATTGTTGGCGCTGTTCTATTGCTGGCAAAACTGCCTGGCATTCTTTCAAGAGTCTGACTTGCCCGAGATTGCCCGCCAAAGGGCCTCGAACGCAACATGGCGCTGGCGCTAGTGGCAAAACAAATGCTGCAAAATGGGCGGCTACAAGTCCAAATGGCAGGACAAAATGCAGAACAGTTGCCAAAAAAAGGCAAACAAATGGCACCTAGAATGCCAAATGGCAGAGACATGGCAGAAACATGGCAGAACAATTGCAGAACAATGGCAGAACAATTTCAGAAACGGCAGGTGCAAGAATGCAATTGCCGAGTCACAAACATGGCAGACAACCGGCAGAAAGTGGTGGACAGAACAATGGCAGCAAACTGCACCTACAAATCCAAAAGGCAGAAAAAAAGGCAGCCATAATTCCAAATGGCAGAAAGTGGCAGCTGAAAAATGGCACGCCAATCTCGGGCCCAGAAAGGAGAAAGCCTAGCCCTTCAAGGTTTCAGACGCAGGCAACTCAATTGAAACAAGTCTGGCAATCCCAACACCCATGCCACCTAAGACTGCAGCCCTCTTTCTGGGAATGTTGAAACCACAAAAAACAACACGGCAAACTGGCCCCTGTGTTTGGCTAAATTGAGTGCCCACTGTTTCATGAGCCTTGTGACCAGGCAGCGATGAAGTTCTTCACCTCTGCAAGCCAGCGGTCCTGCGCACGCCAGTCACGGGTCAAAATTATTGCGCACCCTCCCCCACGTCTCCTTGCTCCCTTTGGGGTCAGACAAACGGGAGAACTCCATTGATCTGACAACTGGCAGATGTCCTCCAAGCGTCCAATTCCGAGCTGGTTCAGCAAGCAACGACCTGTGCATCAAGGCCCTTGCGGCCTCTCCCGCTCCGTCCATTGCAATGCCCGAAATCTCCATGCTGGCACATCGGTGCAAATCTCAGCGTGTCTAAGACTAGTACAGGCTCACTAGTGATTGGTCATCATGGTTGCCTTGGGGAAAGCATCCCTGCGATTGACTCCCACTGAGTTGCAACAACACCTGCTATAAATAGCAAAGTGTTCGGAAGTCTTCGGTCCCCTGCAAATTACTGAGGCTTCAAGCACGTGTTATCCCTCAAAAGCTGGAAGCCTTGGGCGGCCTCCGGAAACAAACGAGTATAAACATGACATGTGTTGAAACATAAAAAAACACTCACACACACACACACACACACACACACACACACACACGCACGCACGCACGCACGCACGCACGCACGCACGCGCGCGCGCGCGCGCGCGCGCGCGCGCGCGCGCGCGCGCTCGCGCACGCCCGCCCGCCCGTGTGAAAAGGGAAAGCACGAGGACTCGGCTTGTTTGGGTGTGCGGTGTCTGTTCCGAACAATGGCAACAATGCCCTTGCTCCTCTTGACACACACTCACACACACACACACACACTTGAACGAGGTGGCCTCCGATTTTGCCAAAGTTGTCCACGCCAAACTTCGCCAGGCTCTGGGCGTAGCTGTCTGCATCTACCACGGGCACTTTTGCCTTCTCCTGAGGCCATGCGACGGCATGACTTTTCCAAGCCTGGCATTCCAGGTATGTGTGCCCCAACTGAACAATAAACCTTCTGGTTTTAAAAGGAGACCAGGGAGACTCCTAAATTTCACCAACCAGCGAAACGGCCCAAATGTCCAATGTCCATTGAAAAGCAAGTACCGACTGTGGCCGGACACAATCCTGCACCAGTTGGGGATGGGTGGTTTACCCCCAAGCCCAACTGTGTTGTTAAGCGCTGAGCTGCCGGGCCATGGGAACCGGGCTCGAGCCCTCGATCTCTTGCACCACGCACAGAGCAGCACGTGCCCAAGACGAAGACCCCGAACTCACCTCTTACGGAGTGACGTGGACAAACGGGGTCTGAAGTGACTCTTTTTGGGGGGGTCTGAAAATACCTTAACTTTGGAACCCGATCGCGTCCCTTTAAACCACAAGTTTTTTGGAGCGGCAACTCCTTATGGAAGTGCTTAAATTGCTTTTGAGACCCGGCTTCCCTTCATAGACCAAAGCAAGCCGCCTGCACGCCCAGAGAGGAAAGCACACGTGCTGTATGCACCGGGCCCAGGTGTTGCGCACGGATGGAGATCTCCATATCGTCGCTGCCTGCCAGCCTGGCAGATCCGAGAATCACACAACATGAATCTCAACTGGGGGCCCTTTTGGGTTGATCTATGTCCACCAACCAAAGCAATTCCCTGCTTTCATCTGTCCCTTTAAAAGGACCTCGAAATGAATAAGACCGATGTGAGCCGCAGGTAAAATGGCGCAGGTTTCCCCAAGAAAACATCACAAAATGTGCGGCTCGTCCCCCTGGCTTTTGTGGCTGAAACTTAGTCAGTTCCCCCACGTGCCTCCCACATGGACCGCAAACAAATCAGACATGTTGACCAAAGCTGCGTCAATTCACTCAGTGCACCTTGCCAGGTCCGTTGCCAGTGGCTGCAGGATGTGATCGAGTTGGCCTGCACTGCACGAGAATACAAGAAAGCCCAAATGTTCTGACTCAACGCTGATTTCAGAAGAATATTTTGTTAGGTCGCTCGCCTTGACACGAGATCGACAAACAGCTGTACGCTAGCAGGTGGTTCTCTGGCCTGAGCCCCACAACTCTGACACAATGCTTTTGCTTGATCTCACTTTCTTCAGCAAAATGCAAAACTGGGCCCTCAAGCTGACCCAAATCAAAGGCGTCCACAACCCGGTTGGCAAGCTCCAGGTACATCTCCTGCTGGCCTGAGAGCAACTAGCCAGGAAGCCCTCCGCCAAAAAAGAGCGCTGTTGAGGCTCTTGCCGAAGCAGTCCAAGCACCACAGGACATGAGAGAGTGACTCCGCCTGTTTCAAGAGCAACGAAATGGGTCTGAGAGGGATTCCACTCCCACGCCGCCCCACGCCATTCCCCTTACCTGCGTCTCAACCGGCCTGGAAGTCGCGAAGTCGGGAACATGCTTCGCCGTGAAGCGCTGCCAAACACCTGGCGCTCGACCCATCCGCTCCGAAGCTTGAGGGGCCCAGCTCACTGCGCAGAGCGGAAGCGCAGCACTGCCAGCGCCCAAGCCACCTCAAAGGCGTGGGCCAAGGCACGGGCGCTAAGCACAGCTGGGAGACAACATGATGCGAACGGGGCAAAACCAAACAAAGCGGCACAAGGGCAAAACGGCCAACCTGGCGCCGGGGAGGGGGAGAAGGAGCGCCTCGCCGATCTGCTGCACGCTGCAACAGTGAAGCTGCGGGGGCAGCGTGCAGGTCAACGCCTCCGCATTGCCCGAAGGCCCAAGGCCCAAGGCCCAAGCCGCGGGCCGCCTTCAGGAAGTCCAGGTCGGAGATGCCGCTACGTGCAAGGTGGTAAAGCAGTTGGGCCAACTCAGAGGCAGAGAACTCCTCGGCACTCTTTGTGCAAGTCTCAAGCAGTTGCGAGCCCGCAAATCAATGAAGACTCTCCTGGATTCTCTTCTGGGCAGCTGCACCTTGGCATTCCAAAAATGACTGTGTCTAGGTCAGCCTCACTGCATTGAGGCATCCTCTTCAGAGCAACTCGCTTGGACGTCTTTAGATCATCAAATCTTCACCCTGAAGCGACCCTCCTTAAAGCCTCAGGCAACCTTGACTGCACGCCCCTGGGCCCCAGCCCGCACCTTCACTTAGCCCCAGCCCCAGCCCACTCCACTCCTCGCCAGTGTCTAGCTGTAC